GGGACACAATCTAGTAAGGATAGTGAGGGAACCACGCTAGTAACGGTTTCGGGGACACCACTTACTAAGGGTAGTGGAGTTGACACCATGCTAATGTTAGTGAGGTACACCACTCTTCAAAGGTATTGAGGGACGCCATTCTAATAAGGGTAGTGAGGGACGCCACTCTAGTAAGGGTAGCGAAAGACACCACTCTAGTAAGAGTTGTGGGGAACAGCACTCTGGTAAGGGTAGTGGAGACTCTACTCTGGTAAGGTTGTGGCGACACAACTCTAGTATGATTGTTAGTGAAGGGACGCCACTCTAGTAAGGGTATTAGCGAAAGCCACCCCTCTAGTAAGAGTAGGCGGGGACTGGCTTTGGTAAGGGTAAGTGGAGGACATACTCTAGTATGTGTTGTGAGGGACGTCACTCTAGTAGGGTAGTGGGGGACACCACCACGGATTGGATAGTGAGGGAACTCAACTCAAATTAGGATGTGCGGGGACACGTCCTTATTAAGGGTGTTCGGGATAGCACTCAGTAAGCGTGTTGAGGGACTCCACTCTGTTAAGTGTAGTGAGGGACACCACTCTAGTAAGGGAAGTGAGGGACACCACTTATGTAGGGATTATGGGGGACACCACTATAGTAATGGTAGTAAGGGACACCACTCCAGTAAGGGTAGTGGGGGACACCAGTCTACTAAGTGTAGTAAGGGACTCCTAAGTAAGGGTAGTGAGGGACACCACTCTAACAAGGGTAGTGATGGACACTATTCTAGTCAGGGTAGTGAGGGACACCTCTCTGATAAGGGCAGTGAAGGACACCACTCTACTAAGGGTAGTTAGGGACACCACTCTAGTCAGGGGAGTGATGGACATCACTCTAGTATGGGTAGTGAAGGACACCTCTCTGGTAAGGGTAGTGAGGGACACCACTATAGTAAGGGAACTGAGGGATACCACTCTAGTGAGGGTAGCGAGGTACACCTCTCTGGTAAGGGTAGTAAGGGGTCCCACTCTAGTAAGGATAGTGAGAGACACCACTCTGGTAAGGGTAGTAGTGTACACCACTCTTCTAAGGGTAGTGAGGGACACCACTCTAGTAAAGGTAGTGTTGGGATACCACTCTAGTAAGGGTGGTGATGGTCACTACTCTAGTAAGGGTAGCGAGGGACAGCACTCTGGTCAAGGTAGTGTGGGACACCACTCTAGTAAGTGTAGTAAGGGAGACCACTCTAGTAAAGGTAGTGTGGGGACACTAGTAAAGGTGGTGAAGGTCACTACTCTAGTAAGGGTAGCAGAGGACACCACTCTGGTCAATGTAGTGTGGGACGCCACTCTAGTAAGTTTAGTGGAGGACACCACTCTATTAAAGTTAGTGTGGAGACCCCACTTAGTAAGGATAGTTAGGGACACCACTTTAGGAAGTGTAGTAAGGGACACCACTCTAGTAAGGGTAGTGGGGGACATCACTCTAGTAAGGGTGGTGAAGGGACACCACTCTTGTAAGGGTTTAATTTTGGGACAATCTCTGGTAAAGGGCTGCGAGGGACACCACTTTAGTAAGGTTAGGGATTGACCCCACTCTGGTAAGGATAGCGATGGACACCACTCTATTAAGGGTATTAAGCGACACCAACTCTAAGTAATGTAGTGATTGGAAACCTCACTGTAAAGGTAGTGTGGCGACACTATTTCTAGTTAGGGGTCAGCGAGGACACCACTCTGGTCAGTGTTGTGTGGGACACCACTCTTGTAAGGTAGTGGGAGACTCCACTCTAGTAAGGATAGTGAGGGACACACCTCTAGTAAGTTTATAGTGAGGGACGCCACTTTAGTAATGGTAGCAGGGGACACCACTCTGGAAAGGGTAGTAGTGGACACCACTCTGGTAAGGTAGTGGGGGCCACCGCTCTAGTAAGGTAGTGAGGAAACACACTTATTAATAGTAGTTGAGGAACCTATTCTAGTAAGGTAGAGGAGGACACAACTCTATTAAGACAGTGAGTGACACCACTCTAGTAAGAGTAGTGAGAGACACCACTTTAGTAAGGTAGTGAGGGGACACACTTCTTAGTAAGAGTAGTGAGGGCACCACTCTAGTAGGTACTGAGGGACACTACTCTAGTATGAGTAGTGAGAGATACCTCTCTGGTAAGGTACTCAGGGACATGACTCTAGTAAGAGTAATGAGGGACACCACTCTAATAAGAGTAGTGAGGGACAGCACTCTAGTAAGGTAGTGAGGGGCACAACTCTTGTAAGAGTAGTGAGGGACACCGTTCTAGTAAGATAGTGAGGGACACCACTCTAGTAAGGTGAAGGGGGACACCACTCAATTAAGGCAGGTGAATGACACCACTTAGTAAGCAGTAATGTGAAGAAACGCCATTTAGTACGTGTGAGGACACACTTTAGTAAGGTAGTGAGAGACACCACTTTAGTAAGGTAGTGAGGGACACCACTCTAGTAAGAGTAGTGAGGGACACCACTCTAGTAAGAGTAGTGAGGGACACCACTCTAGTAAGAGTAGTGAGGGACACCACTCTAGTAAGAGTAGTGAGGGACACCACTCTAGTAAGAGTAGTGAGGGATCACTCTGTAAGTGCAGTGAGGACACCTCTCTAGTAAGAGTAGTGAGGGACACCACTCTAGTAAGGTAGTGAGGGACACCACTCTAGTATGAGTAGTGAGAGACACCTCTCTGGTAAGGTAGTCAGGGACACGACTCTAGTAAGGTAGTGAGGGACACCACTCAAGTAAGAGTAGTGAGGGACACCACTCTAGTAAGGTAGTGAGGGACACCACTGTAGAAAGAGTAGTGAGGGACACCACTCTAGTAAGGTAGTGAGGGACACCACTCTAGTAAGGTAGTGAGGGACACCACTCTATTAAGGTAGTGAGGGACACCACTCTAGTAAGGTAGTGAGGGACACCACTCTAGTAAGAGTAGTGAGGGACACCACTCTAGTAAGGAAATAAGGGACACCACTCTAGTAAGAATAGTGAGGGACACCACTCTAGTAAGAGAAATAAGGGACACCACTCTAGTAAGAGTAGTGAGGGACACCACTCTAATAAGAGTGGTGAGGGACACCACTCTAGTAAGAGTAGTGAGGGACACCACTCTAATAAGAGTGGTGAGGGGACACCATCTAGATAAGAGGGTGAGGGTACACCTCTAATAACGAGTGGTGAGGGACACACTTAGTAAGAGTAGTTGTGGGACACCACTCTAATAAGAATGGTGAGGGACACCACTCTAGTAAGAGTAGTGAGGGACACCACTCTAATAAGAATGGTGAGGGACACCACGTTAGTTTTTCCGCATTTCAATTTGCCGCTGTTATTAAGATTTTTTTTTTAAATCATAACTAGAGAATGCCTCTACTGATAGTGGAGTAATTCAAGTGAAAATATTACTGTATTATTGTTGGGCAGTCTGGGTGTCAATTTGCATTTGTTTGCTAATTTCATCGAATTGAATTTGTTAAACAAATTAAAATGAAGTTTTTTTTCTCACAGGATGTAAAGAAATTTAAATGGAGTCTAAGTCACGAAAGTTAAATGAAAAAATAAAAGTCAGCGGTTTTATAGTTGTTTTTAGTTTAACGAGAAGAGACTTTTCAGTTTTTGAGAACATTCTCAGCAACATTTTCCTCAGCTTTCTCACAAATATTTTTGTTTCCTACTCAAAAATCGGCTTCAAATTTACACCACTTGTACGGTTAATTCTGGGCAAGATTCAAGGAACTCTTTGCCTGGGAGTCTTATGCACAAAAATACTACGTTGGTCATTCCAATATTTTTGTTTCCTTGTGACAGGTGGAAACAGGTCATTGTTAAGTTAGGTCAGGTTTGTCAGGAAACAAGTTATTGTGATTGGCATCTAACTTCCAATAACTATGTTTCCTACTTGTAAGATGGTTTCTGTTTAATGTACGAACGTAGACGCCGTTTTGACACTTTATTCTCGAAATGGTAAAGTATTATTTTTCTTTATAGCATCAGTTAGTCTTGTGAGCGTCTTGATCCAAGGAACTGTACTTATCTTCCTCTTGCTGCGATCGAGTTTGAATGCCTCTCATCTTACATGATCTATGTAACCCCCTACGGGTTTATCCTTCCTTCCCTCTGATTAAAATATAACAATTGTGAAGGTCATCAGTCTTCAATGGTTGATGCATCGTATGATGTGTGCGTCACGTGTGACGGAATAATGTTCAATATTTGATGCATCGTTTTTTTTATGATGTGGTGCGTCACGTGTGGAAGGAATAATGTTCTATGGTTGATGCATCGTTATGATGAGTCGTCACGTTTGTGACGAATAATTGTTCTATGGTTGATGCATCGCATGATGTGTACGTCACGTGTGACGGAATAATGTTCAATGGTTGATACATCTTATGATGTGTACGTCACGTGTGACGGAATAATGTTCAATGGTTGATGCATCTTATGATGTGTACGTCACGTGGACGAATAATGTTCAATGGTTTGATGCTCGCGTGATGTGTACGTCACGTGTGACGGAATAATGTTCAATGGTTGATGCATCGTATGATGTGTACGTCACGTGTGACGGAATAATGTTCAATGGTTGATGCATCGTATGATGTGTACGTCACGTGTGACGGAATAATGTTCAATGGTTGATGCATCCTATGATGTGTACGTCACGTGTGACGGAATAATGTTCAATGGTTGTTGCATCGTATTGATGTGTCGTCACGTGTGACGGAATAATGTTCAATGGTTGATGCATCGTATGATGTGTACGTCACGTGTGACGGAATAATGTTCTATGGTTGATGCATCGTATGATGTGTACGTCACGTGTGACGGAATAATGTTCTATGGTTGATGCATCGTATGATGTGTACGTCAACGTTGTGACGGAATAATGTTCAATGGTTGATGCATCTCAAGATGTGTACGTCACGTGTGACGGAATAATGTTCAATAGTTGATGCATCGCATGATGTGTACGTCACGTGTGACGGAATAATGTTACGTAGGTACAATTTAAGATTCTGTACAAAATACATCTTCTATCCATCTTAAACTTTCTGTGCTGGTGTAGGTTATTCTCCACAAATATTATTCATCAAATTAATTTCTTGGAAATAATTGGCGAATATTTCTTCTGATCAGAAATGTGTCACAGTTTGTTTTACTTTATTTGGTTATCATAAGTAAGATCAGTTTAATGTTCTTTTATGTGTCTATAACATCTATGGTTCTTCAATACCATTGTTTAACATTACTATGTTCCGTTCATCAAGTTCACCTAAAATTTACACTCCTTTTTGTTGCTTGCTGAGGACATTGGTGTTTTTGGTCTCTTTAAAAAGTTTGAATTAGGTTTTGTCTGTAATGTCTTAATTTACACTATACCGAAGAAATTTGGATATTACTTTCCTTAAGTTGACTTGTGAATGCCTCTTCTGATTCCTTTCAAATGTTCAACATTAATATTTAACTACATTATCAACTTACAGTTACGTGCATTAAAACACTGAGGATGCGGTTATGGAATACTGGGAGGCCTTTATCGGATCGCACAACTGGGAGGCCTTTATCGGATCGCACAACTGGGAGGCCTTTATCGGATCGCACAACTGGGAGGCCTTTATCGGATCGCACAACTGGGAGGCCTTTATCGGATCGCACAACTGGGAGGCCTTTATCGGATCGCACAACTGGGAGGCCTTTATCGGATGGCACAGCAACTGAAATACGTCATAGTAATACATAAATGTAACCACAAAAACAATGTATTTTAAAGCAAATAACACAGTAAATGCTGAGCATCGAATCTGAGATTTAAGACAGTATCCCAGGAAGTAAACTAAACTCTGGACGCTGTAGACTACTGCACCACCATGGCAGAAAACTTTGATTAAACCTTTCACTCTCAATATGGTGGAAATTGTGTTGGAAATTGTATTGGAAGAAAAACTTGCAGCAGTTCCACTATTAGACAGTAATGTTCAATGGAGGATCAGTAACAAAGGATCAGTTTAAACAAGAGGTAAATTCTGCAGCATTTGGCATATTTTCAATTCAACTTGATGAATGGACAGTTGATGATGTTTGCATATGTTCATCTTTCTTTGAAACAGAAAGTCTCTTGTGTGATAATGTCTGTGGTGCTGTACAGCTGCAGTACCAGCTGTGTTGGGGATAAAATCTGGATTTCAAATTTGTGCAAAAATGTGAGCTGCAGAAGTGAAAAACATTTATTGTATAATTCATCGTCAGGCACTGACCTCTACAACACTTGTAGCTCCACTAGAGAAAGCTTTGGATCAAACAATTCAGCTCACGACTTTTCAAGCAGTTATGTATTGACATGGATTCAGGCTATAATTTGTTGTTTTTTCCACACAAATGCTCGACAGCTTTCAAAAGGAAATGTAACTGAGCGAGTGTTTGAGCTTAGAGTTGAGCTCAAATTATTTTTTAACGTTAGGGTAAGATGGAATTCTTTGCCTGTCTGGATGATAAGGAATGAATCACTGAGGGACACCACTCTAGTAAGGGTACTGAGTGAAAGCACTCTATTAAGGGTACTGAGGGACAATACTCTAGAAAGGGTACTGAGGGACACCGCTCTAGTAAGGGTACTGAGGGACACGACTCTAGTAAGAGTACTGAGGGACACCACTTTAGCAAGGGTGCTGAGGGACACCACTCTAGTAAGGTTAGTGCCGGATACCACTCTAGTAAGGTTAGTCAAGAATTTTGGCCCTTGATGAGTCATTCCTACCCAAAAGTATCAGAAAGAACTGTCTATGCATTGTGTCGACTGATCTTTATGAGTCAGGCTTTTTCTGTTGCTATTAATTTGTAAAGCTCGCAACATGACTCACGAAATCGTAATGACACGATTGCAAACAAACCATACCCCGGCCGGGATTGAACCTGCGGTCAGAGTCTCAAAACTCCAGACCGTCGCGTTAGCCACTAGACCAGCTAGCCACAGTAAGATTCATCCAACTAGGTATATTTCTACACCATAGGAAGGTTAGCATAGGCACCACTGTGACCACAAATGCAAGTTTTTACAGACGAATCTCCAGCTAGCGTGGCCGTGACGAACTCTAGCTCAAGTCCCCTCACTGCCGTCAACATGACTCACGAAATCGTAATGACACGATTGCAAACAAACCATACCCCGGCCGGGATTGAACCCGCGGTCAGAGAGTCTCAAAGCTCCAGCCCGTCGCGTTAGCCACTGGACCAGCTAGCCACAATAAGATTCGTCCAACTAGGTATATTTCTACACCATAGGAAGGTTAGCACAGGCATCAATGTGACCACAAATCTTATTTTGGCTAGCTGGTCTAGTGGCTAACGCGACGGTCTGGAGTTTTGAGACTCTTTGACCGCGGGTTCAATCCGGGCCGGTGTATGGCTTGTTTGCAATCGTGTCATTACGACGGGTTTAGTACTTCCCCTTCATTATAATAATAATGTCCTATAAAAAAAGGAAAAAAAAAAGGACTGCAATATTTCTTTAAAGATTCAGTTTCTCTATTCTCAAGTAGAATTTTGTCCTGCCAACTGTGGGTCAGTCAGTGATGAAAATGGCGGATGTTACCACCAGAATATCTCTGGTAAGGCCACACACTTCCAGAAGTGAAATAAGACATAAGCAAGAAGCGGCGGGTTAATCATTATGCAGGAATATTACTGATAATATAGTGAGTAATCTTTACGCAGATTGTTTAAATGTTTTATTAGGAGAAGGGAGGGTAAACTTTAGCCAGTCAATTGTTATTATTATGGGCATTTTCGGTTTTAGCCCTCAAAGACCTTGAAGTGAAATACCTTTATCAACGAAGCACAAATCTGCTCAAACTTTAAAAAAAATTGATGTACACCGACAGGAGCATACACTTACCTTGTTGTTCACTTATATAAACAAACTCTTAGATTTATATTACCTTCCTAGAAACATTCACTTCTCTTGATGCACTTTCTTACACTGGTATTCACCAGAAGAAATGAATACCTTGGTTGACAATAATTATAACAACAACAACAACAACAACAACAACAACAACAACAACAACAACAACAATATCTTTATTTCTACAAGTATATGTACAAGGTATACAGGTCTAGCTGACATCAATGACATACTACTATATAGAAAGCCCCCTTGGTACGTTTGAGCATTTCGGGCAAATTAGGTCAATTTTGTCCTAGGATGCGACCCACACCAGTCGACTAGCTCCCAGGTACCCATTTTATTGATGGGTGAACATAGATAACCGTAGTTTTAGAAACACGCCAATGTTTCTAACCTCGCTGGGGAAACGAACCCAGACACTCGCCGTACGAAGAAACATTCACTTGCCTTTCTAAACTCTGAGTAAATCATATTCATTTCTTGGTATATCCTGAGTAGAAATATACACGTAGTATACCCTGGGTGGAAACATGACACTTATCTTGTTATACATTGGTAGAATCTACTCTTACGTTGTTATTTATTGGTAGAAACACCTTTGTATATTTCTGGGTAGAAACACACTTATCTTAATATACACTCATTAAAATAACTTACTCTTGACTTGGTTTTACCCTGGGTAGGAACTTACATAATCTTAATATACACGAGGTAGAGACATAAACTTAATCTTCCATACACTGGATATAAATATGGCTTTATCTTACATTGGTTACAAACATAGAAAGATTATCCTCGTATTCGCTAAATAGAAACAGCGATATGCACTTGGTATACACTGGTGAGAAACATGTACTTTTCTTGATATACACTGGTGAGAAACATGTACTTCTCTTGATATACACTGGTGAGAAACATGTACTTCTCTTGATATACACTGGTGAGAAACATGTACTTCTCTTGATATACACTGGTGAGAAACATGTACTTCTCTTGATATTCACTGGTGAGAAACATGCACTTCTCTTGTATACATGGTGAGAAACATGTACTTCTCTTGATATACATGGTGGAAACATTACTTCTTGATATACACTGGTGAGAAACATGTACTTCTCTGTATACACTGGTGAGAAACATATTCTCTTGATATACACTGGTTAGAAAACATGTACTTCTCTTGATATACACTGGGAGAAAACATGCACTTTCTTGATATACACTGGTGAGAAACATACTTCTTTGACTATCACTGGTGAGAAACATGTACTTCTCTTGATATACACTGGTGAGAAACATGTCACTTCTCTTGTATACATGGTGAGAAACACTGACACTTCTCTTGCTATACACTGGGTGAGAAACACACTATTCTCTTGATATACACTGGTAGAGAAAAAATACTTTCCTTGTTACACTGGTAGAAACACTACTTTCTGATTCACTGGGTAGAATACACCACTTTCTCTTGATATTACACTGTGAGAAACAGTCACTTTCCTTGCTATACACTGGGTGAGAAAATACTTTCTCTTGTATACACTGGGTGAGAACATAACTTTCTTGCATAACACTGGGTGAGAAACAAGTACTTTCTTGACTTACATGGTGAGAAACACTGTTCCTTGATATACACTGGGGTGAGAAAACAACTTGTTACACTGGGTAGAAAAACATTTCTTGCTTATACACGGTTAGAAAAATCCAGATTTCATTGATATAACTGGTTAGAAAAAATTTCCTTGTATAATGGGTAGAAACACACACTTTCCTTGCTATACACTGGGGTAGAAACACCACTTTCCTTGCTAACTGGGTAGAAACACACACTTTCCTTGCTATACACTGGGTAGAAACACACACTTTCCTTGCTATACACTGGGTAGAAACACACACTTTCCTTGCTATACACTGGGTAGAAAACACACACTTTCCTTGCTATACACTGGGTAGAAACACACACTTTCCTTGCTATACACTGGGTAGAAACACACACACTTTCCTTGCTATACACTGGGTAGAAACACACTTTCCTTGCTATACACTGGGTAGAAACACACACTTTCCTTGCTATACACTGGGTAGAAACACACACTTTCCTTGCTATACACTGGGTAGAAACACACACTTTCCTTGCTATACACTGGGTAGAAACACACACTTTCCTTGCTATACACTGGGTAGAAACACACACTTTCCTTGCTATACAACTGGGTAGAAACACACACTTTCCTTGCTATACACTGGGTAGAAACACACACTTTCCTTGCTATACACTGGGTAGAAACACACACTTTCCTTGCTATACATGGGTAGAAACACACACTTTCCTTGCTATACACTGGGTAGAAAACACCACTTTCTTGCTATACACTGGGTAGAAACACACACTTTCATTGCTATACACTGGGTAGAACACACACTTTCCTTGCTATTACACTAGGTAGAACACACACTTTCCTTGCTATACACTGGGTAGAAACACACACTTTCTTGCTATACACTGGGTAGAAAACACACACTTTCCTTGCTATACACTGGGTAGAAAAACACACACTTTCCTTGCCATACACTGGTAGAAAACACTCACTTTCCTTGCTATACACTGGGAAGAAAACACTCACTTTCCTTGCTATACACTGGGTAGAAACACACACTTTCCTTGCTATACACTGGGTAGAAACACACACTTTCCTTGCTATCACTGGTGAAACACAATTTCTGCTATACATGGGTAGAAAACACACTTTCTGCTTACATGGGTGGGAAAATTTTGGTTAAGGAAAAACACACTTCCTGTATACATGGGTAGAAAACACACTTTCTTGCATAACTGGTTTAGAACCACACTTCTTGCTATCACTGGGTAGAAACACAATTTCCTGCATACTGGGTAGAAAACACTTTCCTGTATCATGGGTAGAAACAACACTTCTTGCTAACACTGGGGAAAATTTGATAGGGAAAAACCACTTTCCTGCTTTACCTGGTAGAAACACCACTTTCCTTGCTATACACTGGTGAAACACACACTTTCCTTGCTACATGGGTGAACCCATTTCCGCTATACATGGGAGAACCACATTTCCTTGCTACCTGGGTAGAAACACACTTCTTGTTACATGGAGAACCCACTTTCCTTGCTATAAATGGGTAGAAACACACACTTTCCTTGCTATACACTGGGTAGAAACCCCAAACTTTCCTTGCTATACACTGGGTAGAAACACACATTTTCCTTGCTATACAATGGGTAGAAACCACATTTTCCCTTGAATACACTTGGGGTAGAAACACACACTTTCCTTGCTATACACTGGGTAAAAAACCCAAACTTTCCTTGCTTTTACCACTGGGTAAAAACCCAACACTTTCCTTGCATACACTGGGTAGGAAAACACCATTTTCCCTTGCTATACACTGGGTAGAAACACACACTTTCCTTGCTATACACTGGGTTTGAAAAACACACTTTCCTTGCTATACATGGGTAGAAAACACACATTTTTCCTTGCTTACACTGGTTTAGAAACACACACTTTCCTTGCTTTTACACTGGGTAGAAACAACACTTTCCTTGCTATCAGGGAGAAACACACTTTCCTTGCTATACCTGGGTAGAAACACACACTTTCCTGCTATACATGGGTGAAAACACACATTTCCTTCCCTAAAACACTGGGTTAGGAAACACACTTTCCTTGCTATACACTGGGGAAACACCACTTTCCTTGCTATACACTGGTGAAAACACACATCTCCTTGCTATACACTGGGTAGAAAACACACACTTTCCTTGCAATACACTGGGTAGAAACACACCACTTTCCTTGCTTACACTGGGTAGAAAACACATTTTCCCTTGCTATACAGGGGTAGAAACACACCTTTCCTTGCTATACCTGGGTAGAAACACACTCTTTCCTTGCTATACACTGGGTTAGAAGAAACACACTTTCCTTGCTATACACTGGGTAGAAACCACACTTTCCTTGCTATACAATGGGTAAAAACACACACTTTCCTTGCTATACACTGGGTAGAAAAACACACTTTCCTTGCTATACACTAGGTAGAAACACACTTTCCTTGCTATAACTGGGTAGAACACAACACTTTCCTTTGCAACACGGGTAGAAACACCACTTTTCCTTGCTATACACTGGGTTAGGTAAACACACCTTTCCTTGCCTTACACTGGGTAGAAAACACCACTTTCCTTGCTATACATGGGAGAAACACCACATTTCCTTGCTATACACTGGGTAGAAACACAAACTTTCCTTGCTATACACTGGGTAGAAACACAACTTTCCTTGCTAAAACCTGGGTTAGAAACACACATTTTCCTTGCTATACACTGGGTAAAAACCCCAATTTTCCCTTTGCTATACACTGGGTAGAAACACACACTTTCCTTGCTATACACGGGGTAGAAAACACACACTTTCCTTGCTATACATGGGTAGAAAAAACACTTTCCTTGCAATACACTGGGTAGAAACACCACACTTTCCTTGCTATACACTGGGTAGAAACACACACTTTCCTTGCATAACTGGGTAAAAAACCACACTTTCCTTGCTATACACTGGGAGAAACACACATTCCTTGCTATACATGGTAGAAACACACACTTTCCTTGCCATACACGGGGTTTAGAAACACTAAATTTTCCCTTTGCTATACACGGGGAGAAACATATCTTTCCTTGCTATACATGGGTAGAAAACAACACTTTCCTTGCTATAAAATGGTAGAAACAACACTTTCCTTGCTATACACTGGGTAGAAAACACACTTTCCTTGCTATAAAACTGGGTAGAAACACACACTTTCCTTGTATACACTGGGTAGAAACACACATTTCTCCTTGCTATACACTGGGTAGAAAAACCAACACTTTCCTTGCAATACAGGGGGTGGGAAAACCCCACACTTTCCTTGCTATACATGGTAGAAACAACACTTCCTTGCTATACACTGGGTAGAAACACCTTTCCTTGCTTTTCATGGGTAGAAAAACACCCCTTTCCTTGCTTACACTAGTAGAAAACCCCACACTTTCCTTGCATACACGGTGGAGAAAACACTCACTTTCCTTGCTATACACTGGGAAGAAACATCCTTTCCTTGCTATACATGGGTAGAAACACACACTTTCCTTCCCATACACTGGTGAAACACATTTTTCCGCACCGGGGAAAGAAACACTACTTTCCTTTGAAAAATACACTGGTTAGAAAACACCCCACTTTCCTTGCTATACACTGGGTAGAAAACACACACTTTCCTTGCTATACACTGGGTAGAAACCACTTTCCTTGCTATACACTGGGTTAGAAAACAACCACTTTCCTTGCTATACACTGGGTAGAAACACACACTCTCCTTGCTATACATGGGTAGAAACACACACTTCCTTGCAATACACTGGGTAGAAACACACCCCTTTCCCTTTGCTATACACTGGGTAAAAAACACACTTTCCTTGCTTACATGGGTAGAAAACACACTTTCTTGCTTACACTGGGTAGAAACACACATTTTCCCTTGCTATACACTGGTAGAACACACACTTTCCTTGCATACACTGGTAGAAAACACCACTTTCCTTGCTATACACGGGGGAAAAAACACTCACTTTCCTTCCCTATCACTGGGTTGAAAACACCACTTTCCTTGCTATACACTGGGTAGAAACACACACTTTTCCTTGCAATTAAAACTGGTAGAAACACAACTTTCCTTGCTATACACGGGGGTAGAAACACACACTTTCCTTGCTATACACTGGGTAGAAACACACACTTTCCTTGTATACATGGGTAGAACACACACTTTCCTTGTTTACAGGGGGTAGAAACACCACTTTCCTTGCTATACACTGGGTAGAAACACACACTTTCCTTGGTATAACTGGGTAGAAAACACACTTTCCTTGCTATACACTGGGTAGAAACACACACTTTCCTTGCTATACACTGGGTAGAAACACACACTTTCCTTGCTATACACTGGGTAGAAACACACTTTCCTTGCTATACACTGGGTAGAAACACACACTTTCCTTGCTATACACTGGGTAGAAACACACACTTTCCTTGCTATACACTGGGTAGAAACACACACTTTCCTTGCTATACACTCGGTAGACACACACACTTTCCTTGCTATACACTGGGTAGAAACACACACTTTCCTTGCTATACACTGGGAACAAACACACACTTTCCTTGCTGTACGCAGAGTAGGAAAATAAACGAACCTTTGTATTCAATGGTTGTAAACTCATTCAGATCTGTAATATATTTTGCATACGTTGTATTTCTGTTAAAAAAATTTTTACTATTGGAGATAATCCTTCTAGAGTGAAGGAACTACTATCATAAGTGATATAAGTCTGACTGGTGTCATAAGAGGCAAGTTAACATGCAGGAAGTGGTCGATCTGGTCCATATCGGGTAATTTTGAAAAACTTGTAAGGTCACACAACCCATCATCAGCATCTACCTAAATGAATTTACGGTCCCTGTGTAAGATTCAAAACATGTATATATTCAAGGATTATGTGGATTACAATGAGGGTCGGATGCTAATTGGCTGAGTGACTTTAATTCACACGTTTTTCCCATCAGGATTTTTTGAAGTTTATTCTCATTCTCATTCAGATTCTACATGAAACCTCAATCAAATTTGTTGGAGCTGAAAGACATAAGCTTTTTTGTGTGTACATTAAACGCTGAGTAGCCTGGAGGAGAGAGGTTAGAGGCTTCAGTGGATTCCGGTAAAGAGAGTAATTTAGTACAAGTAAGTGGTCAGCTGTAATTCATAGTTTTAATGGCTTCAACAAAATTACATTCCATTCCATTTTCTTTACAAATGTCATTCATATAATGGCATGACTCTTTAAGCCATTAAAAATATGTATACTTTTGATACAGCTACCCCAACTTACTTAGGTTCCCACTCATTATTGCATCTACCACATATGTACTCGAGGCCTCGACTCGCGTTAGAAGAAGCTTGTATGTAAAGTGAAGACGTAGCCAATACACTAATAATATGCTGGTGGCAGCAGAGATCATATAATGGCCAAGGCTGTGAGTGAACTTCAGAAAAGGCAGATGACGGTCTAATAATAAATAAAAAGCCCAATACCGTGACTGAAACAATGCTCAAATTACTCTTTCATAGTAGAGAGGAGCTTACGACGACGTTTCGGTCCGACCTGGACCATTTACAAAGTCACACTAACAGAAAGGAGAGAAGGGGACCACTAACTCTCCTGAAGTGCTCTCCTTGCTTGGTCTTTGACTGATTCCACTACTACTACTACTACTACTTCTACCACTACCACTACCTCTCTACCTCCTTTCCCACTACCTCCTCTCCTTTCTGTTAGTGTGACTGTAAATGGTCTAAGTCGAACTGAAACGCCCTCGTAAGATCTCTCCTATGTGTGGGTTACTTGTGTAAGACCTAACACTAATGTGAGTCATAAGAGAAGAGAACGCCTTTTGACGAGATTGTGTGTAACTGGTATGAATGCAGACCATGTTGGTGTAATTGAGATTTGATCAGTTACTGATCAGTATACAGGAAAATATCATTCAAGGGACAGTTTTCTGAGAAAAATCTTACATGTATACAGTGAGTTGCAACTGGCTCTTACCATGGTATACACTGAGTGGAGTTCCCGGCACTAGGATCCACACAAGTACCGTTATGACATTAATCCACAAAGTCATTATTGCGTCTCCACCCCAGGTGGAGGCGTGAGTGGTTGCACCACACCAAGTGCTGGAGTAATTGTTGAGCACTACACCGGGTGGAGGAGTGAGTGACGAACACTACGCCAGGTGGAATGTGTGAGCAGTTTCACCACACCAGGTGATGAGCACCACACCGGTTGGAGGTGTGACTGGTGAAAAAAAACTTCGACAGTTGGGATAGCTGCTGTCGACAACTAGAGTAGACTTCCTTAGGTGTAGTAGTAACTGGTCAGAGAGAGCTTATGTGTTGGAAGTTAATATGAGATAAGTGTTATCAATCTATCTTATCTGCAAGCAGTTAATCAGCACTGAAAACCTGGCTGTTGCCAAGAAAATAATTTTTACTTACACATACAGTATTGAAATAGTCAAATTAAGAAATGTATGTCCTTTTGCAATCGCAATTATATATACAAATGAAGAATCATCCTTATATTAATTAAGAGTCTACTAAAACTTCAAGAGCAATGGGCTAGTGACTCTTTCTCCTGTATAAATTACTAAAAATTAGAAGAAAAGCTTTATTAAGTTAGGATGTTTGAGTATGCGTGGAGGTAGTGCAGATGATGAGAAAATATGATTGCCAATATTATGGATGACAAGAAATTGGATATTCTATCTCTAAGCGTAACAAAGCTGAAGGTGGTAGGGGAGTTTCTATGAGAAGAAATAAATGGAATTTAGTCAGGAGTTTCTGAGAGAGAGATATGGAAGAGATAATATAAATGCATAAATTCAAGGATTATATGGATTACAATAAAGGTCGGAGGCAAAAAGTGGGTAATAAGAGTTTATGTACTTGCAGAAGAAAGGAATGTAGGAGAAAGAAAGATTTTAGTAGACTTTGAGTGAGTGTTTTGTGAGTTTGTAACCAAGGATGAGAGTAATTGTGGTAAGTGACAGAATGAAAAATTGGAAGAAACTATTAAAATGGATGTGGTAGGTAAGTTTAGGTTGTTAGGGGTAAATGATAATGGGGGCCTTTTATTGAATTTTGTATAAAAGAAGGTTTGATAATAGGTAACACATATTTTAAGAAAATAAAAATGTAGTGTAGGAGATAATGACAGTAGTTTGTTGGACTAAGTATTGGAGGATAAAAAGAAGATGGATAGACTTCAGGATATACATGTTTATAGAGAGGCAACAGATATATCAGATCACTTTTTAATTGTAAGTACAGTGAGAGTAAAAGGGAGATAGGATACTAAGGATATCAGAAAGTAAGAGAGAAGTGAAGGCTTATGAATTAAAGGAGTACATAGTTTTGCTAAGACACAAGTAACTATTGGTAGGAAGATGAGCTAGTGAAAGCATAGGTAGGCACTGAGGTTCAATATGTGTGGGGTAGATTAATAATGTACTGTTAGCGTACAGCAGAATTTTGTGGATATACGAGGACGGGTAGGAGAGGGTAGGAAAGAGATTCGTGGAATGATGAGGTACAGTAAGTAGTAAAAGATAAAAAATTAGCATATGAGAGTTTTCACAAAGTAGAAGTGAAATTTTGGAGGAGTATATGGAAATAAAATGAAATGTTAGGAGAGAAGTGAAGAAATGTAAAATGAGAGCAAACGAGAGAGTGGGTGAGATGCTGTCAACAAATTTTCCTGAAAATAAGAAAAGGTTAGTGTGAGACTAAAATATGAAGAAACCTAGGGAAACAAACTGACATAATGAATAAATATAGAAGAGAGAAGAGAGTTATTAGATGGAGATTTGAAGGTTAGGTAAGTTTTCTAAGATTCTTTTGATGCAAAATTTAAATTTTTACATTAACATTAATCAAAAAAATATATCTTTAAACGTATAAGAGAAAAAATTTAGAAATGAGTTAATTTTAAATGAATTCTTGCTAATTGACCAGTTTTACATATTCGGCACGACATAAATTATATATATATATATAATATATATATATATTATATATTATATATATATATATATATATATATATATATATATATATATTAATATATATATATCGAAGGAAACTCGAACTTACGAACCTTGGAACAAGGTACGCAGTGCTTTTACTGCCGTACCACAATGGTCCAATACTTTGGCGTACAGCCAACACTAGACGTTTTTGGTCCAAGGCAGCCAGCAATCAGGCAGGTGGTCTTATGTTTTCATCTCATCGACTGTATGCATCGACCGACGAGAGATTTTTAACAATGTTTTGAATTCGCTGGCTGTCATGGACCGAAAAACGTCTAGGATTAGCTGGGCACCAAGGTATTGGACCAGTGTGGAACGGTGGTAGAGCACTGAGTACTTTGTTCTAATGTTCGTAGGTTCGAGTCTCCTTCTACCTGAGATTAGTGTTTGTGAATATTTCGCCTGTTCTGTGAATTCTAAACACACACAAGCAGAGGTATGATAAAGCTCATGGTTCAGGGAGACTGACCTAGTAGCGACCTTGAAGAGGCGGGGCCAGGAGCTTGGACTCGACCCTGACCCTTTAACTAGGGTGAGTACAACAAGGTGAGTACACACACGTACACACAAAACAACACCACCCCACACACAAACACACACACAAGCAGAGGTATGATAAAGCTCATGGTTCAGGGAGACTGACCTAGTAGCGACCATTGAAGAGGCGGGGTAAGGAGCTGGACCGACCCTGCAACCTCAAAGGTGAGTACAACAAGGTGGTCCACACCAACACAAAACAAGCAGAGGTAATAAAGCTCATGGTTCAGGGAGACTGCCCAGTAGCGACCATTTAAAAGGCGCGGGCCCGGAGCTTTGGGCTCGACCCCCGCAACCTCAA